GCTGTGGGCAGGGGCGTTACCCAGCTGAAGGCCTCTTTGTGGCATTTGGGTTTCCATATGCTGCACTGAACAAAAACGTCTACTTACGTGCCAGGTGGGTGAAAAAGTACCCGGAATAAGCCACGGTAAAAGCCGTGAAAGCTGCAGCACACACTCCCTCCATGGCTGGAGCGGTGCTGCTCAATCTGCAAGGGACAAAGCCTGTAGGCAGAAAACAAAAAACCTCAGAGTCCTGCTGGCAGAGACCTCGTGGATCAGCAGGTTCCCCTGCAGTGAGCGTGCCGCAGAGCTGCTCTGCACACTGAGCCCTTCCGGGCCTCGGCACAGCAACTCTGCCTGACAACGCTGCCATGCGGCCGCTGACATCACAATAGCAGTGCCCGGGGCTGCTTTGTGAGTTCATGCACAGAACCACACCTTCTCTACAGATGATGCCAAAAAAAGCCTGCAGCGTTCTCCTCTGCTACAAAGCCACACAAAAAGCCCTCCTAGTCCATCACCTGTTGCTCAAGGCATCTAAGAGTAAAAACACACTAAGCCCCTCTAGCCCACACTGAGAAGCTGAGCCCTGAGAAGGGAGCAGGATGTGAGGAACCACATTAGTGCTCTTTGGCCACTATTGCTTCTGAGCAAAAACCAGAAGGCTTCTTCCAGCGGGACCTCCCTTAGTTCCAGAAAGCAGCAAACTATCAGAACCCAGGAAATTCCTCTGCCTGCCCTGGAGGGCTCAAGCCGCTGCCCGGGGGCTCAGAGACTTTGGCACAGAGCCCAAGATGCCTGTGCCTTTGATTTAGCCCTTGGAAAAAACAATCACCAATCTTAATATGAAGAATTACAAGTCAAAAGAGTTTAAGTAGAATAATAGGTAGTTTGTCACCAGGTGAAAAATAGATTTTTGAGGTTTTGAAAATGACAGCTCGGGGGTCTCAAGATGGAGGAATTTGGATGTGGCTTGTCCTTTTTCCTCCTTCTTCCTAGCCACCATCTTCTGAGTGATGTTGGCACTTTTAGATTGGTTTAGAGGAGAAGTTCACTGTCTCACATAGGTGATAGGTATTGGGAAGTTATTGTAAATAGTGTACACATAGTTTTGGGTATAAAAAGACAACACTGCCTCTGAGGTGGGCAGTGTGCCTCAACCCAAGCTGCTAGACAGACCTTGGCACGTTGGAGAAAGAATATTATAGATAAGAAACAATAAACAACCTTGAGACCAAGAACAGAAGAGTTCCCACTCCTTCTTCAACTGCCGGGCTGGGAAAAGAGACTTTCTAACGCATCTCAGGGTCACTCTGACCAGCAGAGATTCCAAGAGCAAACAGGGAGAAGCACGACTTCAATGACATTTAGAGTTTCCTCCTAGGTACAGAGACAAGGCCATGTGTCTTTCAGCACTATTTATTCAAAGCATTTTACATCACAGCCGTGGCTGTGATTTCAGCAGGGAAACGCCATGACAGGAAATGCAAGGAGGATCCTTCTCTCTGACTCACTCTAGCAGAGAGGCCTTGGCACCAAAGCACCACCACCATTTTTTCCCCCCACTTTTGTCCTTCCTCAGTAATTTTTTGGACACAGGGCTGAGATGGGTGGCACTGAAATGACAGCTCTGACACACAGCTGAAACCATCAGGGCCGGGGGGCATGTGCGACTGTTTTTCTTCTCCAGCAGAACAAGGCAAGCCAGAGTGTTCACACTGATACCAAGCGAGTTCAGCCAAGCCCAAAGGGAGTGCAGCCAAGCCAAGTGCAGCCCAGCAGGCTGGGAGGAAGAGGCAGCAAAGCGGCAGATCCCATTGCCACGGACACGCCCGGCGTGGCGGACTGATGGCAGCGGCAGTGCCAAACAGAGCTCCGCAGGGAGAGACAGACACCCATCACCATCGCCACTGCCACCAGCACTGCCGCAGAGAGGGAGCAGCAAACTGCCACTGCAGGGCCAGAGCTGCTCCCGGCAGCACCAGCAGCCCCCATCTACCATCAGAACCATGCTGGAAGCCCTGGCCATCCTGTCTTTGCTCCAGGGGCCCCGTGTGACACTGCACCTTTCTTGCTTAAGCCATTACCTCTTTCGCACAATTTTCTTCCTATTGTCGTCTACTGCTGCTTTTATTTTCCCCTCACTACATGATAACTCTAACATTCTCAGCTTCTCATAGATTGGTTTTTCCATTGTCCCCCTCCATTGTGGTGGAGAAGGGGAGAGAGGAGAGGCTTTCCCTGGACTATCTCAAGAAGAGGACATAGAAAGGAGGGAAGGCCTTAGAAAGAAAAAACAACGCTCAGGATGCCTCTTTGGGAGGGAAGCAAATGTGCAAGCTTCTTAATATCCAGCCACAAATCTCTGGAGTCTTGACAGCCAAGAAGCACAGGAACCTGGAAACCTTGTTGTGAGACACTGGAGGACATTGCTGGCTCAAGCCCTTTCAGGCGCTTGTAGGTGGGGAAAGGGGCAGATCAAGCCTTGCTCTGCTGAGGCCATGCCCTACTCTGCACGCCCCACACCCCCAGGCCTGCATCCCAGCCCAGCTGTGGCCGCTGATCCCTGGCACACCAGAGGCAAGGCTCCACACCTGTGTCTGGAGCCCCTAACCCAGCTCCTAAATGGCCAGGTGAGTGGCAGCCCCATGTGGGGGAAGGCCCCAGGAAAGCCAAAGGCTATTTACCTCGGGATGTGTGGCCACCACGTCTCTTGACCCTACCTCCTCTTGGTCTCATTTGCAAGCTGAGCTTCCTATCCCCTTTCAAAGCCTTTCACAGTCTAGTGCTCTGTCACCAGTGCCTCAGTTCCATGGTGGGAATTCTGAAGTCCTTTCAGAGAAGCCTTGCCTGAAAGAGAACAGGTCTGGCTTGCAGTGCATTGCTCTGGATGCCTTAGGAAGTTGCTTTGCCAGCCCTTACCCACTTACTGGCCAAAAAACACATGTGAAAGATTGAAGCTTTGCCAGCTGTGACAGTGCCCCAAAGAGAAGGCAGTTAGGGGCAAAATAAGGAGAATTATTTTGGTGCTGGCACACACATCAGGTACCAGGTGGGTGAGAAAAGCCATCTGTAAATAGCTCAGCTGACAATCAGGGAGAGGAAGGTGCGAAGAAAAGCAGAGGTAGAAATCTCAAAGGAATGAGAGGACTATGGACAGAAGTTGAAACTAGCCAAAAGAAAAAACAAAAAAAAAAAAGAGTAATTGGATGAAATACTGATAAAATTCAGCAAGTCTTCTCTTGGTGCTGGATGGTGCATTGGGGGATAGTGTTGGCAGCTTTGGGTGCCCATCCCAAAGCCATCACCTGTTTTCCCTCTGCCCTGACGGGTTCAGACAGGCTGTTGATCTGCATGGCCACTCCCAGTTGGCCCCAGAGTCCTCTCCACTTCATGATCAGCTCACCATAAGTTTTCTGGCTGTCATCCGTTGTGGCTTCTCTTCTCCTGAGCCTTGGTGTTGGTCCTTGTTGTCTGATGTGTGGCTGTGTGGTCATTTTTGGCCCGTGCCCTCCAGGACAAACCCCCACACTCCCCCTTTTTTGTTTTATTTAAAATGAAAGGTATAACAATCATAGTAAAAATAATATCTTCTTATACCTAAAACCAACACAATACTTAGTAGATTTTAACTAAACTTGGGAATTAAAATGAACAGGTGGGTTGATATTGCAGACATAAGCAAACAATAAGTAAATACAATTTTCATTTTCCCTCACTTCTCGGGCCCTGACTCCCAGATGGCTCCCCGCCACTTCATTCCCTTTCACTTACCCACAAAACAAAAGAGAACAGAAAATCAAAGCCAAAAGACTTGGGGTGACACCTTTCCCGCATGGCCTTCAGCAAACACAAGTCAAAAGAAAAGGTTTCATGGGGGACTAGAATGGGGGAACGTTCCGGTGGTGCAGGGCACAGAACTCCTGTGGGGGCAACAGAGTCGGTCCTCCAGCTGTTTTATTCTCAACTTCTATTGTAGCTCTGACCTCTGAAATATGTATTGCAGCAAAAATGGGAGTCTGCTAATACAAGAGGAAAGCAGGGGCAGGGTTGAGGGCAGTCAGAAAGTGGGTTAGGGTAGAATCCAGGACGCCATGGCCGGTGCCGTCCTGACAAGGGGTCAGAAGAGGAGGGGAGATGGCAGATGGCTGGTGGCTCGCCTTTGCTTGCTCTTGAGCAGGTTCCATCTCCTGGCCTGTCCTTCCCAGGGACAATGGGTTCAGGGAAGTGGGGGAAGAACATGAAAACTGGGAAATATTGTGCAACCAAAATTTAAATTTAAATGCTAGTCAAATATACCATCAGTTACCACCAAACATAGCAAAGTAAATGATTTTCAATAATCACGGTATCAAATGTATATTGAAACGATAAACAGGAGACCATGGGAGAGGTTAAAGTCTAGGGGACATTCTTCCAGGCCACAGCCCCAGGAAGTGCCCTAGCAGGCCCACAGGCCTCCACAGTGGCTCAGGCAGGTCCCAACTGCACAAGTTTTCGCTCCCTCATGTTGGCCTTGGTTCCCGTGGCAGAACTTGCCTTCCCGCTGGACACTCACCTGCGCCTGAGCCCCTGGAGAAGCCCGGCTCCCTCCCCCTCTGCCCACAGCCACAGCAGCCTCCTCAGCAGTGACACCACTGCTCTGCTCCATTCTGCCCTACTCTGCTCCTCTAGCCACAGCTGCAATGCCTCTATCTCCACAAGAGCTTGTGGCCTGGAGGCACTGAAGGAAGAAGACCTTTGCACGTTTCCAAACCATGCCACAAATCCCCATCCATGTGTCTTCCCACATCGAAGAAACACCTGACCATTCAGAAGCAAATTTAGAGCTTATTCACAGGGTGAGAACAAAGGGAAGCTTCCAGCACAGTGAAGGTTTTATTTATTATAGTATTTATTTTGCCTATTTGAATAAAGAGACTACGAACTATGAGCTATAATCTAGAAACTACAAACTACGAGCTATAATCTACAAACTACAAACTACAAACTGCAAACAACAACAATGGCCTCTTCCAGGGCTAGTATCTCCTGTTGGCCATAAACTGCTGCGTGGCCATGATCAGAGGCGTCAGCTCGGAGGTCGGCTTGGCTGATGTTACAAACGGATGCTGCCCAAAGAGAAAAAGAAAAACATGAACTTGTACTTTCCTCACAGGCTGAAACAGGCTTTCTCTGGCTACCAGAAAGATACAGAAAGAAGAAAAGGAGGGCATTCTGGGCACCACTGTCTCCACATCCAGGACCTTGCTACATGAGGCAAAATGGCTCCCAATCCCACAAATCCGTGACTCCAGATGTCTTCAGCTTAAGGAGATTTGGTCTAGGTGACCTTGAAAGGCTCCTTCCAAGGCATCCTAGGCCAGGATTCTCCTTTGTTTTCCTTTGCAAGCCCCCAGAGGGGAGATTCTTAGGAGCGGGCCCCATCAGACGCCTTGGACTTGAGCAGATGAGGAGCCCCTGGCAGCGGGCAGCTGGCGCAGCCTGCAGCCGCTTTGCCTTTTACCTGCAGCAGTTCCTGGGCAGACCAGCGCCTGTCCTCGTCCCTCTCCAGGCAGCAGTGCAGAAAGTCTCGCAACCACGCCGACTGCTGCCTGGGCTTCTGCAGCTTTGGCCTGCCCCCGCTGCTGATCAGCTCTTGAACCTAGAGAAGAAGGAAATGCCACGCTCTACCTGTCTCCTTCGCACCCCAAACTGCTCACACACACCCCACGGGACAGGCTCCACTCTCCCGTGGCACTTTACTCCCTGCCAGAGCCTGGCAGATACCTTTCCTACCCCTACTGAAAGAACACAAAGCCACAGGCAGCCATAGCCAGTCCAATAGGCAAAGGCTCTTGCCTTCACCCCTGATTTCACTGGCTGATGGGGACTAAAAGCCCAGCTTTGCCCTTTTGTCAAAGCTTCCGTCAAGCAAAAGGCATCACCATTTTTTGTGCGGTTCGTGCACTGAAATGGCAAGGGGACGATCTGGACAAGGAGCACGAGAGACTATGCAGCCTGGCACCTCTCATTTCCAGGTGTTAGCAAGCTTGCCAGGCAGAAGAATGGGAGCAGATTGTGTTTGGGTGACAGCAGTATCTGAGAGCAGTTGCAGCGCACTGTGCGGGAGGTTTTCATCCGGTAAGGAGGCGCCCCTTCCACCATCTCGATCCCCACAATGCCAAAGGACCAGATGTCCACTTTGGGGCCATAGAGCTTCCTGGTGAAGATTTCTGGCGCCATCCAGTAAGTGGTCCCAACAGCTGATCTCCGTTTGCTCTGCTCAGCGGTCAGCTGAGCAGCAAGGCCAAAATCAGCTGAGGAGAAAAAACAGGCCAGCGTGAATGAGGAAAGCAAAACAAAGAAATCCCCGCTGTACCAATGTCCAAGAGGGCAGCGTGGAACCCGGCTGCCAGCAAGGGGCCATGCTGCCATTCCTCTGGCCTGCAGCCGAGGAAATACCGAATTGGCCAGTTAGCAAAAGCCCCAGCTTTCAGGCAGTGGCTTTTAGTGCCCTGAAGCTATTAGACTGTAAGTGCCTTGCTTGGGAAGGGACACACGCACAAGCCAAAGGCACTCCTGAGCCCTTGTTCCCAGCAACACCTCCCTGCACCTTGGGGCTCTGCTCTGCACTTGTATCAGGGCAGCCTGGACTGCCACAGGCACCGCTGCAGGGAACCGGCAGTCACCCAAAGGCAGCCCCACACCGCAGCCTGCCACGGCTGAGCCTGGCCAACAACACCCACCCAACTTGACGGATCCGTCCAGACCCAGGAGAATGTTGTGGCTTTTGACGTCCCGGTGGATCACTTGCTTGGAGTGAAGGAAATCCAGGCCTTGCAGGCACTGAGAGAGGAAAAAGAAACACCAGCCTAAGTGGATTTCATCCCACAAGCGGGGAAGTGGCACATCTGCAACACTGCAACATTCCTGGGCCATGCTGAGCCATGGCACGACAGGCTGCTGGCAAGGGCAAGAGCTTGCTGCTCCAACACAAGGACAGCAGTGCCTTTCTAAGTGAGGGTGTGTGTGCTTCTGAAAGAGAAAGGACAATTGTTCCTCCGGCCACTGCCCTGCAACCACAGACTGAAGCAGCACTGCTGCAGTGGCTGTGCTCTCTCCAGCCAGACAAGAGTGGATGCTTTTGCAAACACCCCTTTGGTGCAAGGCTCTCTTGGAGGCTGAGCTCCATGACAGCCCAGTGTGTATCTTTGTCTGTGCCACTTATTTTACATTGTGCCACCAGCAACTTTGCCCGTCCAGGGAAGGAATGCAGCACACACAGGCTCCAGGCAAGTGTTTAGAGAGGCAAACACAAACACACGAGAAGAAGGGCAGGGACACTGGCAGGCACTTCAGATGCTCTTGCTACTGCCAGTCATAAGAGAAAGGCAGCAAGGAGGCTCAGAAGATGAAATCTCTCCTCTCCTTGTCACCCATTTGGAAGGACCATCCCGACCAAGGCATGGGAAGCACAGGCACTATCCCTTACCTCCCGAGAGACAGCTGCTATCTCTCCTTCTGCCAGGCGAGTCTCCCTGATGACATCGTGTAAGGAACCTCCGTCCATGTATTCCATCACGAGCCAGAGTTCCTCGTCCAGCAGGTAGCTGAAAGGAGGAAACAACAGCCTGGAGATGAAGGTGTGGTGTGCACTCACACCACCTGATGGATTCTTGTTTCTGTGTCTCTCTCAGAGGAAGACAGGAGGAAGTGAGCAGTCATTCACTACGCTCTACAGGCCTTGAACTCTGGGCAGTCTAAAACACTGCTTGCTATCCACACCAACGAACAGGCCAAGGGAAATACAATCTGCAGTGCTTCGGCAACACTTCAGACCCATGGGGAAAAAATCCAACCCCAAAGCCAACAAAACAATGGGGAGAGAGCACAGGAACTTTGAGGCTGTTGGCTCAGTAAGATAGGGCCAAGTCTGGCCTTTGAAAGCGCCCTTCAAACTTGGTATGCCAGGAAAGAGTAATGCAGCCCCAATGCAATCTCCTCCCAAGACACTGTAGATCAGCCCAGAAACAGGAATGAACAGCTCCATCCTCTGCCATCCACCAAAGGAGTGCTTGAACCTCTGGCTTGCAGGATGTGAATGACCTTTCACAGCAGAACAGCAGAACCACTCACCTGTCTACATAGTTGACAAGGTTGGCGTGCTTATTGCCACGCATGACCTGGATTTCATTCAGGCACAGTTCGCTGCTGCTCTCTTGCAGGAGACTAATTTTCTTTATGGCCACCTAAAACGACATGGAAAACCATGAACCAAAGAAGTCCGTGGCACAGGACCACAAGGGCAACATGGAGACAGTGATTATGGGATGATAGTGCTGGGCTGGGCCAAGCTGCCTTGTGACAGGACATCAGACCGCCTGCTCGGGCACCTCCCAGGACACAGAGCCACATAGCCTCTGCCTTGGAAACCTGGCAGAAACACGCTCTAAGCTCTCCACCTCAGACGTCTAACAACACTCACTGTGCCCAGGGCCAGTCTTCTCCCGTGGCCTTACTTTATCATCCCCATGCTCATTCACACACCTCTTACAAGCAGAAAGCCATTTTGTGCCAGTAAAAATGGAGCAAAACTGCTGGCAAACCATTGGCACTTCTAGGGGATTGGATCATTACTCCAGCACTCACTGGCATTCTCCATGGCACAACAACAAAGCAAACAGTTAGAGATGTGGCAGATAAAATGCTGTCCTAAAAACATCCTGAGGGCTATTCCTCCTAAGATATACAACCCTACATACTTCACAGAAAAAATGCCACAATGATGAAAACATCATTAAGGACACCTCCAAAAACCACAATCCTAGCATTTCCTCACTCCAGGAATTTTCATTCTGCTCCACTCAAATACTTTTCTTCACACCACTGACTTTTGCAATTACTGCCTGACTGTAAAACGAAATAACCCAGGCCATGATCTTCTAGGGATATACACCGGGCTATGAGCAGGGCTTAGGCCCTTGAGAGACTCCTTGCAGACCACTCTGTCTAAGCACAGTTCCAAGGGCAGCACTGCAGGTGCCTACAGAACTATCAGCACGATTCCCATCTATTTGCTAACAGCCAGAAAAGAGAACTCAGGAACCCTGCAGCCCCAAAGAGCAGTGCCATGCTCTGAGACACCACCTGGGCACTAAGACCCAGCCAGCGTGTCCTCCTCTGGCCTCCTTGCATTCCCAGGGGCAGCTGAGAAGGACAAAATCTGTCCCCACTGTATTTGGCAGGGCGGACACTGCTCTGCACTTCATCTGCCTTTGCAGCAAAGCTCTCCTGGCCACCCAAAGCTCAGCCACAGCTCACAGCAGAGGGGAGGGCACTCGAGAGCTGCAGAAGCTGCGGCGCTGCTTGGCGCTTACCTCTTCTCCTGTGGCAGTCTCCACTGCCATGCACACCGTGCCGAAACCCCTAGAAACAAAACAGCAGCGGAGAAAGAAGAAGTCCTTTAGTCCCTGCCACTGCAAGACACTGCAGTCCAATGGCAAATAAGTCCTGGGGCAAACAGTAAATGGAATAGGACAGATTCTCCTCTGGGTCTTTCCCCCCTTTTCTCTTTCTGTATCTGTACATGTGTGGGATTTTTCCAGGAACTTGCCAGTTGGGCCTTCTCCCACTTCTCCCTGGAGCCTGTCTGCCAAAATCAAGCACCACTACTGAGGCCTTCTGAGAAGCCTGAGGCCACGGAGCAGCCATTGCAGGAAAGCCTCCAGACACAGATCCCTTCTCCAGCTTGCAAGGAAGTTAGTGCCCAGCCACAGCTGCAGCCACAGCCAGAGCAGGGAAAGGCTTCCATTGCTGCACACACAAATGGAGAAGTCCTCAAAACACTGGATCCTTGGACAGCGGCGTTCTGAGTCCAGAGCTGTTGTCAGCTGCTTCTCTTCGGTGCCCCAGACACCTGGAGGACTCTGCTTTTCTGGAGACTTCTTGTACATTTGGCTTCTCACAGGGAAAATGTTGCAAATCAGTCCCATTTCCCGTCAGCAGAGCCGGCTTTCAAAGGGAACAGCTTGGTGGATTCTTTGCAGGAAAGGCCTAAACCCCACAGGATCCACCAGGGTTCTGCCATCAGCCAGATGATGCCTTTTCCTCTGGAGTGCATTGGCACTGGCCATTGCCCTGAAGCTTTGTCTTTTGCCACCTCAGCTACAAAAGAGAGCTGCTTCTTTCATTTCTGCTTTTGGCTGCTAGGCTAGGTGGTGGCCATCCAGACCACTGAATCTTGGTTTCAGCAAAATACTGGAAAGAAATGTTACCCAGAGCTGTTCCCTGACAGCTGTCAGCTGCTGACTTGACCTCTGAGGCAACAAAGTTTCTCCTCCTTTCATTCCCACCCATTCTGTAGTCTTTTGAGACATGCAAAAATGCTCTCTCCTAGGAAGAGCGGCAATCAGGTGCAACAGACTTGAGGGAATGGAGATCTGCCAGGTGCTGCTCTTTGCCGCAGAAAAGACATTGCCAGCATCCAGGTGTCTTTGCCGCCCTGCCTTCGGACCACAGCTGTAAATGCTGACCAGTACTGAGAGATCATCAGGCATCATCCTAACGCAGTGTCTGAACAGCTTTGGAGCTTGCCTGACGTCGCTCTGGGGAGATGTGACACCAGCAAAATGCACAGGCCCTGCCTTTGAAGAAGGAACTGTGGCTGCACTCACCCTTTGCCAATGGTTTCCAGCTCTGTGTATTCAGCCTCAGGATCTCCCTCGCTCACCAGCATCTCTGGAAAAATCCCAAGGAAAGATGCTCACTTCAAAAGAGATCCCACCCTGCAGCAGATCAGAAAGGCAGCCCCACTCTCTGCCACTCTGGGCCCTTTCAACTCAGGCAGTCGGCAAACAACAACACCACCGCACCACCACCACCACCTCAGAAACAACAGCAGCAAGACGAGCAGCCCTGCAGCACAGATGGCCTGCACCAAACTAGACGTCTAAACTAAAATCTAAGCACGTGCAGAAACAGTCAGAGGATGCAGGGATCAGAAAGCTGTAACCAAGAGAACTGGTTGTTGTCTAGAAATGTTAAGGGCAGCAGGAATAACAAAACCTTGCTGGTCTTGGCAATCAACACTCTGTGACCTTCAAGCAAAGCTTTAATCCTTGCAATCATCAAAGGCATCCTGGCTCCTGGAATCAATTGTTCTCAACAGCTGCCCTTTGCAGGACAGCAAGAATATTGCAAAGTGCTTCCAGCAGAAGCACAATCTGCAGCTTTGAGCAGGACAATTTTGCCTAAACAATGGCCTTCTGCCTTTCAGGAGCAGCAGCTCATGTTCCAACCTACTGTGCTGGGCCTTAGGAATGAGGTGCCTCAGCCTTTAGGACAGGCCGAGTTCTGAAGATGACCTTGGCCGTGCCCCACAGGAGCTCCTTGAGCGCCTACTCATTGGCTGGGTCACGGCCTCCTGCTCAGCCAGAAACAATCTCTGGTTTGCCTTTTGCCTCCAGGGAAGCTCAGGCAAAGCCAAGCCAGGCTGAGCTGCTCTCAGAGGCAGGAGCAACACCCCGGTGACCCCTCACCACCTCAAAGCACAACAACGGGTCCTGTGTGGAGGCCTCAGGAGCTGGCACTCAGCTGAGGAGGAACAGGAGCTGGGACAGCTCATGCCGACACACGCACACACAGGGCACTGCTCCAGCAGACAAGGATCACAAAGGACGTACTCAGCATGGCCAGGCACTTGTCCTCTGTCCTCTCTCCCAGCTGCTCTCTGCTGCCAGAGGAGCTACTGGTGCTCCAGATGCACGAGCTGCTCCCGCTGCACTTGCCAGCTTAGGGACTGGAGGCTCCTTCAGAGCCTTCTGCTGCAGCTCCTGCAGGTGCCAGGACAGAGGAGGTGGAGCTCTGGGAAAAGAAATGAGTGAGGTCACAAATGTGCCTGGCAGAGGTGCCCCTGCCATCCCATTTCAAATGCAAGCCCCTGGGAAGATGCTGCTGGCCACAGCCAGGGCTCTTCACCTCTCAGCTTTTGCAGCCCGCTTCTCCAGCTCAAGGCCCAAAATCCAAAGGCTGCTTTTACACCATGGACAAAATGACACCACACTCACTGCTAACCAAAGCAGGCACTTACTGATGATGTTTGCTCTGGGCCTGGGCTGACAGCAGGGGCAGGTTCATGAGCACCTTCCTCCTCTTCAGCCTCTTCCTCGCGTGCAGAGGCAGCCAGAGCAGGTGCTGACGCTGCCCTTCTGCTCTGGGGACACACAGCAGCATGAGGGACAGGAAAGAACCTGGCATTCACCACCTCACCTATATTCAGCTACAGGCCCCGCTGCATCTCAGCTGTTCCTTTAGCTACTGACAGCTGCTGTCTGCGCAGGGCCAGGTCCCTCCTGGGGACAGTGTCTCCTCATATCCTGCAAGCTTCTGAACTGCACCTTTGCACTGCTCTCTTCACTGGGGACAGGGAGCCTGCACAGCCACTGGCCACCAAGGGCCTCACTTGTACCCCAGCAGCATGCCAAGACATCCTAATGCTACCTCCTGTCTCTTGCTAAGACAAATTCACAGCCTCTTTCAGAACAGTAGGAAGGTGATCCCTGAACTTCCAAGTTCCAGGCCTCACTGCCTGCGGGAAGGGCAGGAAAGATTCCAGCCCTCAGCATCTTCAGCCAGGCACGGGAGGTGCTGTCTGATCAGAAACTTGCAGCTATGCTTTGCTCCAGCCACAGGACTGCCCAGAGCTGCCACTTACTGATGCTGCATGCTCAGGCCCTGCAGTGGCAGCAGGTACACTTTGCTGGGCATCTTCCTCCCCTTGGGCCTCTTCTTCAGGAAGACACACAGCCACTGGAGGCTCCGAGGTTCCCTTTGGGCTCTGCAGACAGACAGCAGCGTCCTTTATATTCAGCTCTAGACCCAGATGCACTCAGGAGAAAGCATCTGCAGAGAAATGGGATTCTAAGGTGCTCAGACTCAAGTAAAATGGGCCAGCTGGATGGGACTGCGCTCTCTTGTACAGGAGAAATTCCATCATGGCAGCCACCACTTTCAGCTGCTTAAAAGTTCTGGAAAGGAACTGGAGAAAACAGCCCTGGGTCCTCCTGCTGCTGCTGTTGCTGCAAAGGGCCTGGACTGTACTTTCATTCATCCAGCCAGGCTGGCACCGGACTGCAACAGGCCCAGCTCACAGCTTGCTCCGCAATTGCCAAATGCTACCAAGGCCAGAGGCTCCTTTGCCACTCACCCAAAGAGCGGATTCTCTCCAGGCACGGCTGATGTGACCTGCAACACACAAGGGAAAAAGAACCAGATGCTCTAAGAAAACTGCCTGTGCTGGCCATGCCCACCCCAAAGTCAACCCAAAGACAGAGCATTCTGCTTTCACTACACCACTCCAGCAGCATCCCTTGTGGCACACAGCAAGCAAGACAACAGCAGCACAAAATACTGCCTGGTGTCTACCTTGTCTCCTCTTTGGCCACTCAACCCATAGAAACTTGAGACTAAGTCTACAAGTGGTTCTCTAACAGTCATTGCTTCTGCCCCACCTCACCAAGCAGCGGCTACAGCTCCTCTCTTTGCTGTATTTCAGTCTTCTCAAGACATTGCATGCAGCAATTGCCATGAGCTTACTGAAAACCTTTCCCCAGGGAGGCTTCACCCAAGTCCCTCTGAGCCATGGTGGCAGTCCTATCATGACACAGCACAGGAACAGCTCCTGTGTGTGGGAGCATACAAGAACTCCTCAAAAATGTCCATCTCAGAGGCCTTTACCAAGCTCATTCTGTGATTTCATCACAGAACAAATGGCTCTTTTAGCGCGCAGGAAGTGTCAAGTTCCACAGGCAAATGCTGGGATGAGGGAATGCAGACAAGAAGCCTTGAACTGAGGGACTTTGCCTCAGTCCTGGAGAGCAGTGCACAGCTTTTACAAGGACTCCTGCCAAGCTCTCCCAGTCTTCCCATCCTGGAAGTTGTCTTGCTTGAGCCAGCAAACTGAGGAGACTCCAGACTCCATTGCCACAGGCCGTGGCACGGCAGGAGCGGAATCCCCGCAGGCTACATCACAAATGCTGCCCATGCCCCACTGGCTAGAGACACGCCCTTCTTAGCTGGAGCTGTGGGCAGGGGCGTTACCCAGCTGAAGGCCTCTTTGTGGCATTTGGGTTTCCATATGCTGCACTGAACAAAAACGTCTACTTACGTGCCAGGTGGGTGAAAAAGTACCCGGAATAAGCCACGGTAAAAGCCGTGAAAGCTGCAGCACACACTCCCTCCATGGCTGGAGCAGTGCTGCTCAATCTGCAAGGGACAAAGCCTGTAGGCAGAAAACAAAAAACCTCAGAGTCCTGCTGGCAGAGACCTCGTCGATCAGCAGGTTCCCCTGCAGTGAGCGTGCCGCAGAGCTGCTCTGCACACTGAGCCCTTCCGGGCCTCGGCACAGCAACTCTGCCTGACAACGCTGCCATGCGGCCGCTGACATCACAATAGCAGTGCCCGGGGCTGCTTTGTGAGTTCATGCACAGAACCACACCTTCTCTACAGATGATGCCAAAAAAAGCCTGCAGCGTTCTCCTCTGCTACAAAGCCACACAAAAAGCCCTCCTAGTCCATCACCTGTTGCTCAAGGCATCTAAGAGTAAAAACACACTAAGCCCCTCTAGCCCACACTGAGAAGCTGAGCCCTGAGAAGGGAGCAGGATGTGAGGAACCACATTAGTGCTCTTTGGCCACTATTGCTTCTGAGCAAAAACCAGAAGGCTTCTACCAGCGGGACCTCCCTTAGTTCCAGAAAGCAGCAAACTATCAGAACCCAGGAAATTCCTCTGCCTGCCCTGGAGGGCTCAAGCCGCTGCCCGGGGGCTCAGAGACTTTGGCACAGAGCCCAAGATGCCTGTGCCTTTGATTTAGCCCTTGGAAAAAACAATCACCAATCTTAATATGAAGAATTACAAGTCAAAAGAGTTTAAGTAGAATAATAGGTAGTTTGTCACCAGGTGAAAAATAGATTTTTGAGGTTTTGAAAATGACAGCTCGGGGGTCTCAAGATGGAGGAATTTGGACGTGCCTTGTCCTTTTTCCTCCTTCTTCCTAGCCACCATCTTCTGAGTGATGTTGGCACTTTTAGATTGGTTTAGAGGAGAAGTTCACTGTCTCACATAGGTGATAGGTATTGGGAAGTTATTGTAAATAGTGTACACATAGTTTTGGGTATAAAAAGACAACACTGCCTCTGAGGTGGGCAGTGTGCCTCAACCCAAGCTGCTAGACAGACCTTGGCACGTTGGAGAAAGAATATTATAGATAAGAAACAATAAACAACCTTGAGACCAAGAACAGAAGAGTTCCCACTCCTTCTTCAACTGCCGGGCTGGGGAAAGAGACTTTCTAACGCATCTCAGGGTCACTCTGACCAGCAGAGATTCCAAGAGCAAACAGGGAGAAGCACGACTTCAATGACATTTAGAGTTTCCTCCTAGGTACAGAGACAAGGCCATGTGTCTTTCAGCACTATTTATTCAAAGCATTTTACATCACAGCCGTGGCTGGGATTTCAGCAGGGAAACGCCATGACAGGAAATGCAAGGAGGATCCTTCTCTCTGACTCACTCTAGCAGAGAGGCCTTGGCACCAAAGCACCACCACCATTTTTTCCCCCCACTTTTGTCCTTCCTCAGTAATTTTTTGGACACAGGGCTGAGATGGGTGGCACTGAAATGACAGCTCTGACACACAGCTGAAACCATCAGGGCCGGGGGGCATGTGCGACTGTTT